GTTAACATGGTACAGGTCAGCAGTAGCCTAGATGTAATGTGTTAACATGGTACAGGTCAGCAGTAGCCTAGATGTAATGTGTTAACATGGTACAGGTCAGCGGTAGCCTAGATGTAATGTGTTAACATGGTACAGGTCAGCAGTAGCCTAGATGTAATGTGTTAACATGATATATAGGATGCAACTGACCCATACTATGTTTACACATAATTCTAAGCTTGCCACTGACTTATACCATGGTTACATGTTAAAATCTAGACAGCTGCTGATCTATGCCATATTTACACTTGTTACATTAAGAATGTTAAGAACTTTGCCATATTTATATTTGTTTCGTCTACAGCTTGCTATTGTTGGCTTCTTCTTATGTTCAATCCAACTGTTGCTAGCCTCCTGGTTTTTTGGTATTATTTTAAACTATTAATTATTATGCAAAATACCCAGTCCTAGGTGCTCAGGTGATCATTTTCTTTTCTTACAATGGGAAAGCCATGGAAGTTTTAAAAAACTGGAATGCTTATTTTATCAAATTTCCAAAAGGAATTAATGATATATTGTTGCTTTTTTTAATAAAATTCTTGTTTTTTTATGGGGAGGTTTCATAAACAGTAGTTCTATAGTGATGCATGTATAAGAACCTAATATTTTATTTTTTCCAGTCTGGTCTCTGTCTTTTTAAAATAAACCTCTTGATTTTACAGCTGCTGTGTAGTTGAAAGTGTGTTGTGTATGTTGATGTACTAGTAATCATAGCCTTTACAGAAGTGGAATGAACCTGCAAGAAAACTGGCTTGTCCAACTGAACATTTGAAGCAATGTTCATATGTATCTATTCATTGAGGATTAGGAAGGATTTTAGACTTGAATATGTTAGTATCCATTTGTATACTCAGACCCAATTGTATTATATATGCTTTAGTTGCTTCAATACCTTGTAAAAAAAAAAATGCAATAATATGATCTTGCTTTAATGAATCTGATTTTTTTGTTTATAATTCATATATTGTTTCAATTTGCTGGGCAGTGTGGTTGATGTTAAATGCTATAAATATCTTCTTGGTTATATGTGCAACTTAAAAGTTTCAAACCAGCACTTTCATGTTTATATTTGCCATTATGGAGCATTTCTTTGTTGTATATTTACACATTCTAAATTACAAACTTGTTGATCATGATTTTGTAGTTTTCTTTCAAACAGTGCGTGTGTAACAGTTACACATAGTTCTTTTATATATATATATATGTGTGTGTGTGTACCATAATTTCTCTTTACAGGCATTTGTGTAAATAATGTAAGTGAATATTCTTTTAATCCCATCGGTATTGTTAATTTTTAATTGTGTTAATCATAACTTATTGTTAGCATGTCATGCTTTGTTAGAACAGATTCAGTTGCTCATTTTTTATAGACAACTGTTATTAACACATGGATCTAATAGTATGGTAATCACCTGGAATGGTTGAATTTGTAATTGAATTGGGAAACAAATCGGTAAAGAACATTTTGATCATTGCAGTTAGAATGTCTGAAATGAAGTTTATGAAATGATGTGGTAACTTGTATGCTATAGATATATTTATCTAAGTGTTTCCTCTTTTGCCAAAATTTAAGTTTATCAAAGGATTGACAGGTAACTCGCAGATTGAGTGAAAAATAAAACTGGAATTTTCAAATTTATGATACTCAATATATTTCCCTGTGGGTGGTAATTGATGATAATATTAATAAAAACAATTTTCAATTAGTGTGTGCCTCATATAATGAGCAAAAACAGAGGTGTAAGATTCCAAGTTTATGATACTCAGTATATTTCTGTATGGATTTTAATTTAATGTTAATTTATGATGATGATTATAATAATACAAATCTCTTCATATTAATATACAACATGATGAAAGAGAAGTACACATCTCATCATTAACTAAGAATGCATGTGAATGATACTGTGTAGCATGATTTATTTCTTGTTTCACATATTATCAGTTCCTTTTTCAGGAACAAACATCAGGTTTCTCGGCAAAACTATTCCGTTTGTCAATTTGGTTATAATAACTCGAGAACGATAATTTCATAATATAAGTAACAAATAAAGGTTGTATAATAAATATTGCTTGTATGTACACGTGTTTGTTATGTTATAAATATTGATGTGTTTTACTTCAGGCCTTTTTTTTTTTTCTTGAATACACAAAGACTTGCAAAGTTAGTTATACTTTTAACTAATAAAAAAAACATTTTAGATGTTGATATTGCTAATATTTAGGCCACAAATGCAAATATAAAATAAATAGATCAGGTGGAAACTGGATTCCGATTAACAGCAAGAGCATTATGCCAAGTGCTTTATTTGTAGCTAATCGATAAATACCCTTGCCATTGACTTTTAACAATATACATTGAGGATCATACACATTATATACAAGTACATGTATAATTTCTGATTAAAATTGGAATACAATAAATACATGAAAATCTGAAAAAGTACTTAAATGTAATGTGAATATTTAAAAGGATTTACAGAATAAGAAAGAAGTTGAAATTTTTAAGTATTTGAAAATATCAATTATTTAAACTAAAAGTAGTTGAAAGGGGGCAAGGTGATTGAGTATTCCTTCAGTATCTATAAATTTTTATGTTGAGTAGTTCATGGTTGGATGAAACTGAGATTAGAACTTAGATATCTTTAATGGATGTGGAATGGTTACATTTCTCACTCTGCTTACATTGTACTGTACACAGAAACTGTAGCCAAAAGTCAACTCAAAGAGCAATAGCTGACTTCTCAAAAACAATGGGGTAATTTCACAAAGTATTGCACCAAAACTAGACAAAATGATCCAACTGAATAGCCAAAAGTCAACTTGAAGTATGACAACTGACTTCCCAAAAACAAGGAAAGAAATTTCACATGGTACTGCACACCAAAACTTGGCAGTAGAGAAACACCAAAACAGTAGGTTCAAAGTTCAATGTTTTGATTTTGTTGCAAGGTTCTTAGCACAGCTAACGTTTCATTGTCATCAAATGAAACAAAGTATTGAAAATTTGTCAGCACTTTTAAGTTGGCATGAAAAATCAGCACATCATCTGGAGACATTTCAACAATGGAATGAACTAGGACTTTGAATGGAAATAAACCACATAATTGGTACAAATAACTTGTGTTTAATTAAACAAACATAGCATTTATAAATTGCCCTCCAGTAGCTCAGTAGTAAGTCTGAAGGCTTATAATGCTAAAAATAAGGATAGCCCATTGTGTAGCTTTGACCTTAACTACAAACAAACAAGCATGATAAACTGTATATTGAAGATTTATTACATTGATAAGAACTTATGAAATTCAAGTTATTACTCTTCGTGGAATTCACAAGAAGCTCTTCATATCCAGAAATGGAAATTTCTTGAAACTTTCTAAGTAATTGGCCATTTTAGAACCTGTTATTAAAGAACACCTTAGAAGAATTACCACACAAGAAATCCTTGGGCAATGTCTGGGATAGGTATCTTAAATACCAGACAAGAAATCCTTGGACAGTGTCTGGGATAGGTATTTTAATTACCAGACAAGAAATCCTTGGACAATGTCTGGGATAGGTATTTTAATTACCAGACAAGAAATCCTTGGACAATTTCTTGGATAGGTATTTTAATTACCAGACAAGAAATCCTTGGATACTGTCTGGGATAGGTATTTTAATTACCAGACAAGAAATCCTTGGACACTGTCTGGGATAGGTATTTTAATTACCAGACAAGAAATCTTTGGACAATGTCTGGGATAGGTACTTTAATTACCAGACAAGAAATCCTTGGACACTGTCTGGGATAGGTACTTTAATTACCAGACAAGAAATCCTTGGACAATGTCTGGGATAGGTATTTTGTATTATCAACTTGAATGGCATCTTACATGCCACATGGGCTAATAAGCACCGAGTTAGAGACTACAAGGTTTAGGCATAATTTAAAACTGCTGATGAGAGAAAGGGCAATAAGTCAGAAGCACCGACTTGGCTGATCTTAACCACATACTTGGATATACTGTCATTTTTATAACACCCCAACAGGTTAAAGTAGGAAGGTGTTCAGGAGCATATTGTGGGCTCAAACCTTGGACCTTCCAACTTGAAGCCTGGCACATTAACCATTAGGTCACACTTGGCTCATCTTAAATTCATTAGGTGTTTGGATAATATGATACACAATTATTTATCCAGTATTATTCAACCTGTGATTCATGTTTTCTTCACGTTTTGTTGAAATATGCTGCTAAAAATGACAATTACTACATAATGCTTTCATTTAACACACGCAACATATGACTGATCATTGGTTTGTCACAGCTACTTGATGCATCTACGACTAAAAATGATGGGATAATTATGAAAGCTTATTTTCTTTTCACTTTTTCTTTTTTCCGTAGACATAAGTAGAGGCAACATTATCACAGCTATTCAGAGCAAACTCGTGAAAATCTTTCTTCCCCTAGAGGACGTACGAGGCGAAGAGTGTAACAATCGGAGCTCGTCAGAAAAATTTCGGGCCCTACCCAGCCTCTCCTACCAACGTGTCTCTTATCGGCCAAAGTTTTGGCCCAATTTTTCCCTCTTATAAAGCTTACTTTTCCAAATCTAATCCTACTACTTTTACCTATGCCCCTTTCTCACCTCACCTTTACCACTAGCAGCATCATCACTTACCGTTACTAACCTTTCTGTCATTCTTTTATTATTGTACTTTTTGTGCAGTGATGAAAATGTAAAGCAAGTTTTGACTAGCAACTTTATTCAAAAGCTAAAGCGGTGTAAGAAAAAGGATCATTAAATGGCAAATTCATATGCCCCCCTCCCCCCCAGTGGCACAGCGGAATGTCTGCGGACGTACAACGCCAGAAACAGGGTTTCGATACCCGTGGTGAGCAGAGCACAGATAGCCAATTGTGTAGCTTTGTGCTTAACTTCAAACAAACAAAACAAGGGGCAATTGCCTCCCCCCCCCCGAAGAATGAGAAATATTATTCATTCAGCATACGTATATGAAATTTTCATCCACTTTACAATTTCATACAAGTTTGCCCCACCCTCGAAACATTTCTGCGGACGCCCATATTCATAAGATACAGACGAAAATATCTAAAGAATATTTTACAGATCAATTAACATAAAACAGTCCTTTTCAGAACTGCACAGCTTGAAAGTTAAATTAACACACGAATGATTCTACGAGTATTATGCATAGGATGAGTATCTAGAGTTTGAATGCTTTATGGGCACATTTATATAAAAAAACAACCCTTTTCGAGACTACACAGACTGTAAATTAATATAGTATAATAATATGCATATATCATGAAGTACGCTAGATAGATGATAAAACTAAAAAAACAGTGAAACAAATTATTAGTTTTACTTATTCAAACATTGTTATTGATGTTACTGAAAGATAATGACAGATTGAGTACACGATCATATTGCCCTATTCGTTTACACATACAAGTTTAGTTAAATATTTTTTCTGTGATATATATATCTTAGAGTTTGAATATTTTAAGATAACATGGCTAATATGGAGAACAGCCTTCTACAGAATCATATGAGTAAAGCATGATGTACAGAATAACAAATAGTCAAACTGTAATAAATGAAACATTAATTTTACATATCAAACGTTATGTTCATTGATGAAAAGACATTACGGTAAACCAGACTTTGCATCTAGTAGCGCCACTATTTCTAAAATGAACTAGTGACATTTTAAAAGATTTCTACACAGTGTTAGTCTAGTGAGAGATAGTGCTTTCCACACGTACTTTCAAGTAAGTCGAAGTATTAAATAGAAAGTGATAGAAGTTGATATATCAGTTAAGATTCTATATATTTTGAATAATAATGAAATGATAAGTGTTGCTATTTATTTTCGATTAGATAATAGAAAAATCTGTATCTGTAAAGTTTACATGGATTTGTACTACGCTAAGACAGTCGTTTAAAACTGTTTGATAATGTATAATAACCATATTACGTAATTCGCTGGAGCAAAATGTTTACATAGAGTGGAATAGTTTGTTGGTTAAACAGAGGTAATAGTACTTAAGAATGAAAATAGGGCTATAATGATAATAACTGATTAAAAAAATACAAGATAAAACAGTCATACTGTTTATAAAAATCATTGTTGTTCGCAAATATTGTATCGTCTTTAGTTAGAGTTATACATGGGATAAAAGTCTGGAGTTTGAATGCTTTAGGTTAACAGAGAAAAGCTGTCATTTTGTAAGACTATGATCAATTAGTGTAATGATTCCCAAACTGTTGGTCCGTGAACAAGTGTTACTCTACATGGAGATTTCAGGCAGTCTGCAAGATGGTTTAAATATATTTACTGAAGTATCTTGCTAGCCAATGTAATTTTACATTGTTTTTAGCAGTTAATATTGTACAAAGCAGTCCGTGAAGTTTTGGGATCAGAAGTAACTGGTCCTTAGTTGAGAAAGGGTTGGGAGCCATTGAACTAGTGAATGTATAGTCGTATATAGAAACAATAAAGTCAATATGATGCATACCATGTATATATCTAAAATATGAACGTTTTATGTATAAATATAGCGGAACTGTAATAAGTGGAGCATAAAATATTACTTTTACATATTCATTTTGATTGCACAGGCCTGCGAATTTAAACTTCATAAAAGTTGTTTTGGTATTAATAACGGATTTTCCTTAATTCAGCTACGCAGGTTTCGAAAATAATATTTTTATTTTTTATCAAGTAAGGACTTTTTTACAAATCGGGGAGAAAAGAACTCTTACTTACATCAAATAACTTTTTTTCGTTTACCACAATGAACATTTTATATTATTATGCTTGTTGTTTGGTTCTAGAACGATGGATAAGACTCTCACGTCGCGAATGGTCTAACGAAATCTATAGCCAGTGGTTGTCAACATTTTAAGCATAACAAGATGTGACCCGATTTCAGTGAAAACAATTCCCTTATGTAAAAGTACATATGACGTTTTGTGAAAAATCTGTACGCGATGGAGAAAAATGGATATCATTTTCGGATTCAGCGTACAGAAATTACTGTAGAACATGTAAACATTTCAAGACAATAAAAGTATCGCAGGCCTGTGTTTTTAATGAATGAGTGGATGTTGAAAATGAAACTATAAGTTATAAATTTGACCGTAACTATAACACAGAACCGATATCTGTTAAGAACAATAGAAAATGAAAGAGTAGTTTATTATTATTTTACAACACAACTTGAAAATCATGTTCAGACAGGTTCACTCGAGATCCACATAAAACACCTACCTACACATCCTTTGGGCACCTTAATTACTGTTATAATGTTATTATAACACTTAATGTATAACGTATTAAGAGCTTATGAGTGAAAGTAAAGAAAAATTTATAGCAATTTCTAAACCACACAATATATGCTATATCTAGTGCCGTGGAGGTCTTTAGCTCAATTCCAGAGCTCATCAAGCTGGCTGGACTACTAAAGACACGGTAGTAATTAGGACGCTCTATATTATATTATCAAATTGCATGAACAATAACTGTTATAGTGTGAAGTACATTCCGCTGGTGAAGTATAATTATTATAAACTTTTACATGTTTTTGATAGTCGAGATCTCTTTGATTCGTAAAGAACAGTCATTTTCGGCAGTTCCAATAATTTAAACTGTCAATTGTTATTGGAATGTTAGTACAACCTAACGCATATCTAATAATTGTTGAAGCACGTGACTATTCTTAACAAATCAGAAACCTTGGCTATCAAAAACCCGAATCCGGAATTAAATACAGTCTAATCTTTCTGAAAGTGCAAACTGAAAATTTATTCTCGTATATATTTGAAAATAAACTTTGCACTTGAAAAAAATAAAATAAACCATTTCTTACTTTCAAGTTTTATTATGTTATACAACAAGTTATTATATACATTTTACATAATTGTAAACAAACAGGTGTGGGTATAATGCATACAAAATGTACCAAACCTTGTAGGGAGGATCATTTTAAACATATATTCACTGGAAACTGAACAAGTGATCTTTTGATCAACTATTTGGGTGGACAGTAACCTTTAGATTAAAATATACACTTGAAGGTCGACAGAGATATGTGTGAATACATATAAACAACTTGTGGAAGAATATGACAGTAAAATAGATTTTGTCTTGAACAGTATAAATAATCTCTTCTAAGATACACGAAACACGTACCCAAATTTTAAAAATGTATCTCTAACAAATGAAAATGATATACTTCTCATGTTTAACAAATGTAATTAACCTCTAATAAGGTTCGTACGCGCAGAATGTAGTAAATAAACTTTTAAGTCCACTTGCTTTATAGTAAATATACTTATATTTAAAGATTAAGATAGGTATTTACCTTTTTAAAAAATATATGAATAAAAGTGTAACGTGTGTAAAGTAAACTACATGAATCGTTTAGTGCATAGTTTTAACATAAAGTGAGTATTTAAGATATTTATACACACACATTATGTAAGATGAATATTCAGTCCATAAAATATTGAACAAACCTGTAAAATATTTTGAGTTTGAATAATTATTACTTACACGATTGGAATATATTCTCAAAACAATATTACAAAACCAGACTTAGTAATCAAAACAATATTACAAAACCAGACTTAGTAATCAACAATATTACAAAACCAGACTTAGTAATCAACAATATTACAAAACCAGACTTAGTAATCAACAATATTACAAAACCAGACTTAGTAATCAACAATATTACAAAACCAGGCTTAGTAATCAACAATATTGCAAAACCAGACTTAGTAACCTGATGAGATTATATTTCTTAAAAAATAAAATAAAATAACAACCCTGCCCTATGGTAACGAACTCTGACCCGTGTTACAGAGCTAAGTGAATGACCCACCTTATCTCATGTGATTAAAAAAAAAGTCCACGGAAGTAAGAATACGCAATTTTAGGACAAAAAATACTTATTAGTTGTTTCAACCATTTAGTAAAGACCTAATACTGAAGTGTACAATAAACACATTAGGTTTTGTTTTTTCTCAGTAAATCGAAATATTCTATGGAAAATCACAGTTTTTAAAGACATATAATCTGGATAGTCTTTTTTGTCAAAACATAAAACGATAACTGTTGCTTGTTTAATTTTATTCAGCTATCGTAATTTACTGGTTGCGAAAACTGTTTTTATAAAAGATACAACCTATCATTATTAATTATTGTTCTGATGAACTCCATACTATTGTAAAAAGCTAGTTGTATACACTTTACAGAGTTCACTAATTTATGTATAATATTACATGTAGTATGACTTACGAAAGAAATCAGCCCTCTTTTGGGCTGATACATGATAACAATAAAATTCAATGTAATTAAAATTAATGAATAGATGACAATGTGTTTGATTCATAATTAATAAGTAAACTATATAAAATTCAAACTTTAACAAACTCAATAATAATTAAAGGTTATTTTTTTGCATCACCAAACACTTGGTTTTGAATCAGTCGATGAAAATTTATTACATAATGAAATCACAAGGTAAAAAATTGTTCATGAAATTCTTGTGGAGGTATTAAAGACGAACAGTAAAGACTATGTGTCCAAAATTTAACAGTTGAGGTCAAACTATTGTTCAGTGTGGCATTGAAGTCCACTTTGTAATGACACTTTCATCAAATTATACATCAGTAGAGCAAATACAATCAGTTCAAGTGATTGCTTGATATTGTAGACACCTTATATCTTAAACTAGCAAAGTTATAGCAGATTAATGATACAGATCTAGCATGGGCCTCCCCTTTCATCTATTTTGAACCATAGCCCATGATCCGTTCGTCCGAACCAAAGATGCCCAATCTACATGCAGCAGAAAACGTTACTTTCGGTTTGTGTTCGTATTTTATTATCGACCTCAGTTGAGTCTTCATTCGCATCATTAAGAGTGTATAATTAAAATAACTGTCATAATTGAACAGCTCGTCTAATTATACTCTGTCTCTGAGGGATTCATTTGAGTTATTCTACCAAATGTTATTGAAACTGGTTTAGCCAATTTCTCCCAACTCGTGACACCAGACAACGCTGCTTTTTATTAGTATATATATATATATATAGTAGTAAAAAAATTTACACTATCATTCTTATGAAGTGGAACAATCAAATAAATACAAACCAAGGTCACAACCACCAATTAAAGTAGAAGGTTAAGTGATTAACAGTTTGTTTTTTTTCAATTTCGCGCAAAGCTACACCAGGGCTATCTGCGCTAGTCGTCCCTAATTATGACTAGAGGGAAGGCAGCTAGTCATCACCTCCCACTGCCAACTCTTGGGCTACTCTCTTACCAACGAATAGTGGGATTGACTCTGTCACATTATAACGCCCCCACGGCTGAAAGGGCGGGCATGTTTGGTGGGACGGGGATTCGAACCCGCGACCCGCAGATTGCGAATCGACCTGGGCATGTCGGGCCGTGATTAACAGAAAATCTTTGAATAAATGAAATATTAAAATAATATTCACGTAATTACACATTACATTCAAAATTAAAAATTCCACACAATGTGCAGATATTATTTTGCCCTTTGGTGGGCCAGTATGGCGCTACTTTTGCACGTTCAGGTGAATCTGAATGGAATTACCCCACCCCCCTGCCCAAAACTTCACTTGTCACGTGAGAAAAATGTGGCTAATTTTTTTAATCAATATTTTGTCATTATGAAAGTCATTTTCATCATTAGTTTAGTATGTGTGTGTTTTTTTTCTTATAGCAAAGCCACATCGGGCTATCTGCTGTGTCCACCCAGGGGAATCGAATCCCTGATTTTAGCGTTGTAAATCTGGAGACTTACCGTTGTCCCAGCTGGGGACATTAGTTTAGTATCTAGATTTAACCTAACTCTCCTAAACTGTTCGAACATCATGAGATATTATTAGGTTTATGACCGAATATGTCTGCGGACTTACAACGTTAGAATCCGGGTTTCGATACCCATGGTGGGCAGAGCACAGATAGCCCATTGTGTAGCTTTGTGCTTAATTACAAATAAACAATTATGACCGAAAATATCGATAACAGCGAGGATAGCCGACTGATTAAACAATGCATTCTATTATTTATAATTAAGAACGTAAGAACAAGTTTGTTTAATCATCTATACTCATTCTGGGTTAATTTCTAGTTCTCATCCATGTAGGTAGCTTGCTTTGATCAGAAGTTAATGTTAACTACCTGTTTATACTAATGACCACTGCAGAAAGTTTTCCTTTAAAAACTCCCACCATCATTGCAAAACACAAACTGTTTATTTAACAGTGGAAGCGAGCTATTAATTTATTCCTTATGTTCGATATAAAACATGAGCATCCTTTTAATCTATGCATGTCATAAGTTATTAATCGTTGCCGTCTAGGCCTAAGATACGAAACGTTCCTACTCACATTTGCTTTACACTTTTATCTTTAATTTGTGATGAAACGTGATATAATTCTTGACATATTTTGGGATCAAACAAAAGTCAGGAAGATAATAATTTAAGACGCAAAACAATTGCAACAAAACCTGATGTGAGCTGACATTATCATTTTCAGTACACTTATCTTTTTTTCACAACAGACACTGCTTACTCTGCAAGACCCTTCAAGATTAAATATTAGTTGGAAATTTCAGCTTCTGCTTTTTGCAGGCCTCCAGTTCTTAACGTTTTAGCGAGACTTTTAATTCTGAATAGTTTTACTGTGTCCAATTTCCAAAGGAATATTTCCTAAGATTAAAGAGACTGGGTAAAGGACCTGAAGCCCCCCTTTGTTCTCCTCGTATTTCTCTCAAGGTATATGACCTGAAGCTCTCCTTTTATTTCTCTCTAGGTATATGGCCTGAAGCCCTCTTTTATTATCCTTCTATTTCTCTTTAGGTAAAGGACCTGAAGCCCCCCTTTGTTCTCCTCGTATTTCTCTCAAGGTATATGACCTGAAGCTCTCCTTTTATTTCTCTCTAAGTATATGGCCTGAAGCCCTCTTTTATTATCCTTCTATTTCTCTTTAGGTAAAGGACCTGAAATCATCCTTTGTTCACCTTGTATTTTTTTCTGTGTACATGACCTGAAGCCCCCCTTTGTTATCCTTGTATTTCTTTCTAAGTATCTGACCTGAAGCCCTCCTTTAGTCTTCTTGTATTTCTCTCTATGTATTTCTTGTATCTATGTATCTCTTGTATTTCCCTCCGTGTACTTCTTGTATCTATGTATCTCTTGTATTTCCCTCCGTGTACTTCTTGTATCTATGTATCTCTTGTATTTCTCTCTATGTATTTATTGTATCTCTTGTATTTCTCTCTATGTATCTCTTGTATTTCTCTCTGTGTATCTCTTGTATTTCTCTCTGTGTATTTATTGTATCTATGTATCTCTTGTATTTCTCTCTGTGTATCTCTTGTATTTCTCTCTGTATATCTCTTGTATTTCTCTCTACGTATCTCTTGTATTTCTCTCTACGTATCTCTTGTATTTCTCTGTGTGTGTGTGTGTCTCTTGTATTTCTCTTTATGTATCTTTAGTATTTCTCTCTGTGTATCTCTTGTATTTCTCTTTATGTATCTCTTGTATTTCTCTCTATATCTCTTGTATTTCTCTCTGTGTATCTCTTGTATTTCTCTTTATGTATCTCTTGTATTTCTCTTTATGTATCTCTCTATGTATCTCTTGTATTTCTCTTTATGTATCTCTTGTATTTCTCTTTATGTATCTCTTTATGTATCTCTTGTATTTCTCTTTATGTATCTCTTGTATTTCTCTCTATGTGTCTCTTGTATTTCGTTTTACGTTTATGACCACTTGAAAAATCCATTAATATATGAAACGAATCACGTACTTGCCACCAAATCCTTCCTCTTTCTGCAACTTTTATACACAAACACTTTCTCGTGTAATTGTGTATGTATTACATTTGTTTACCATAAAGGCTGAATGCTGCTTTGCCCAACTAGTTCTAAAATTAAATGGCTATTTCTTCCCTCAACTGTTCTTTTATAAAATTGGGACTTAAAGCAGTAAACTGAATCATTTCGTTAATTGATTTTAAAAAGTCTGCGTAAGCTGACGAGTAGCGCCACCTCTGCAACAGTTTCTCCTCTGAGAGCTCATAGTTACAGTTAGAAGCCTCACCACGTAGTTTCCAATATAACTCCACTAAATGATCGGGAATAGTGAATCTTCTATGTGGAACAATATTCCCGAGACTAAGGCCAGGTGCTGTGTAGGGAAATCGGATCACTACCAGATGACTGTAATCTCCAACACATTTCACAAGGTCAGTAGTGAGGGCTGACAGACTGTATATGAAAAGTTTGTCAAGGTAACCGATGTTATCGTTGTGTACTACCTGAAACAAAATCGGGCTTTGTTAAAACTAAGTCTACTTGCTAAAGAAAAGAATAACTTTTGAGTTCTACAAAATGAAGTTATTTATTTACTTATCCATCTTTTGAAATTTCAAGCTTATCCCGCAACGTTTTCACTGTAATAGTCTTATATATCTTTGAGAAATGAAGTACATAGTTTAAAATCTTTCAAGCCAATTTTTTTATGTTTTCTAATGTTTGTAAAAAAAAAAGAAAAAGAAAGTTTATAATTCATATCTGTAACTTGAAACCAACCTTTCCTTCCTGCCATGCTATCTGACGATACACAGCGCCCTCTGACTCAATAACAATAACGACTTTCTTTTTATTTAAAGAAAGTTTCCCGTAATGATTTGTGGACTTTAAGTCGCAAAGACTTTCTTGATTCGAACTTATAATACCAGCATCAGAGATTTTGTTCAGTGAAGATTCGTGCACACCCAAGTTTGTGTGGGGTAATGTATACTGGCTAGAAAAACTGTGTCTTCGATGTGTCTTTTTAAAGCTGGTGTACATTATGTCTATATATTTTTCTTTGCGTGAAGGACATTGTTCAGAGACAGAAGTAGCAACTTCATGGTTTTTAGATGGTGATATGTTACATAAGCTGGAGTTCATGATTTCAGACTCTGACTCATACCAAAATTCGTTCTGACATTCGCAGGCGATTAAACGAAGAGCCCAGCCTTCGGGATTTACCATAATCTCATCTTCATACTCTAAATCCCAAATGACTTCAGCATTCCAGCAATCTTTCAAGAATGTAACAAAGTCACGAACGACTTCAGTGTGCAGAAAACAGTCATGAGAGTACAGTAGCGACACCTGGATCCTTTCGTTTGGGTTGGTGAAATCTATAGAAATAAAAACATAATTATTGCTGTTATTTCTTAATGCAAAGCTACACAATTGGTTATCTGTACTCTGTCCACCACGGGGAATCGAACAACGAATTTTAGCATTGCCAGTCCATAAACTTACTGCTGACCCATTGTGGGACAGAAATAAAAATATATCTACAAAATAGCAGTGTTTATAAGTTAAAAAACTCAAATATAGTACAGTGGTCGACGACTATAGTGAACACGATTACAGTAAACCAACAGGTATATGGTAAAAACCCTACGCTTATAGTAAACGGGACCACGGTTATTGTGAACGTAGCCATGTTGAACGCTACCTTTCAACACGTTGCATACTGTCTGTCTAATATAGTAATATACCTCAGATTTAAAGTTACAGTAATAACCCAAAAGCAATGTAATGACAGTTGTTGTTGAATAAAATTAATTATGCCTAAAAATGATATAAACTTAAAAATATCAGTTTCAGAAACAACATATATAAACGACAACTTTCCCGGCAAATAAGCAACATGATTTTAACCACAGAAATAACATATATAAACGACAACTTCCCCGGCAAATAAGCAACATGATTTTAACCACAGAAACAACATATATAAACGGCAACTTCCCCGGCAAATAAGCAACATGATTTTAACCACAGAAACAACATATATAAACGACAACTTCCCCGGCAAATAGGCAACATGATTTTAACAATTTTTATAACTTAGAATGAAAATATACCTTTTTTTAGGTACATTCAGGAAAAAAATATTGAATTTCTCGTTTACCTAAGTAGCGTTGTTTTGACTAAGACGCAGTAAATCAGAGCTTGCCTTAATCCCGTCCTTAGACATAGGGGCGTGCACAAGGGGAACAAGCCCTACTCAACCCCCAATAACTTTATGCATACGGACACGGTCATTTTTGTCAGTGTAATGCTGTTAATTCTACGTATTTCGTGTGTAGATATGATTTATATATATATATAATATGTGTGTGTTTAAGCTACTTTCTAGTAGCGGTCAAATTTAGAGTCCTGTGCATGCCCTACTTAAACAAGTCGTACACAGGTTGGACATCGTAGTAGGTTCAGAAAGAAATTGTTTGTTGGTTGATTTGTTTTATTGCAAAGCCACATTGGGCTATCCGCTGTGTCCACTGCGGGAAATCGAACCCTGGATCTTAATGTTGTAAGTCCGAAACTTACCGCTGTCCCATCGGGGTCATACTAATCTTGTTGATGAATTAAAAAATAATAATAATAACACATGTTAAAATTACTGTTTCTGATTGGTCCTGGTCTCAGCTGCTTACATTTCTAGCCCCCCCCCCCCAGTGGTACAGCGGTATGTCTGCGGACTTACAACGCTAGAATCCGGGTTTCGATACCCGTGGTGGGCAGAGCACAGATAGCCCATTGTGTAGCTTTATGCTTAATTACAAACAACGATACATTTCTAGACTTTGGAAATTATTAATTGCTTTCACTTATAAGGACACGAAGGAGTTTTTTTGAGGCCATATTAAACATACTCCATATTAAAAAACTTATTATGTTTGTTTGTTTGTTTTGAATTTCGCGCAAAGCTACACGAGGGCTATCTGCGCTAGCCGTCCCTATTTTAACAGTGTAAGACTAGAGGGAAGGCAGCTAATCATCACCACCCACCTCCAACTCTTGGGCTACTCTTTTACCAACGAATAGTAGGATTGACCGTCACATTATAACGCCCCCACGGCTGAAAGGGCGAGCATGTTTGGTGTGACGGGGATTCGAACCCGCGACCCACAGACTGCGAGTCGAGTGCCCTAACCACCTGGTCATGCCGGGCCAACTTATTATGAAGAAGTGTTTCAATGATGCTGACGTCTCTCCCAAACAGAGGTAAACAATAATGGTTAAAACTACGTGTTCGATTCCAGAAATTACGTAGAACAATTTACAAACTAAACTCACCTTCTTCGGCATCTTTATCCAAATCTCCTAAAATTTGTTCTGAAAAACGGAAAGGCATTTTTGATTGAGTGCACTGCAGAATCCGATATATATTGTACCAGTTCTAGAAAAGTTGCAGGAATACCTTCTAAACTGATACATCAAGAAACTCAAACGACACTTGTTTAACTTTGCTAAAACGAATAAATACATTTTCTAAGAAACAAGCGAAGAGCAAGAAATGACAGAAAAAATAAAGCATTTAATGTATATGAATAAACGAGACGTAAGCAAGCACATTTCACAATATATAAGAAAATATCTCTTTGTCTTTCAATTGCTTCTTTGTTATTAACCCTTTCACTACTCGAGTGAGGGGGGGGGGACCCCCACCCAATGCGCAAACAAAAATAAGTTGTTTTTTACCTTATTATGTCATAGTATAGGATGCAGAAGAAAAGAATAAATACCAGAGAGTCATGTAATAACCTCTGTGTGTAAGCCTGGTGGTGTACCGAATGAGAAGTGAGCAGGGGGTTAGTCGGGTCCGGGACAAATCTCACTGACCGCGAGATAAGACGGGAGGGCGAGCAGGACTTTGGTTTTTTTTTTTTTTCAGATGTGATATCACACTTCTCTCTTACCTCACACACACTAGCACAGCATTGGTTGTGAATAACCCGATTATACTGTACAAATATTACACTTAGCACACTAATATAAATCACTAAACTATTGTATAAATGGCTAATATTTACACTATATATATTTTCCCCGCTATGTATAGGGTTCGGGGTTGACATCTATGAGTTACTGGTATAAACAAATATCAGCTGGGATTTCAAGCGGTGGAGGGAAAACCTAAAACATCATATGATGCGCGGAGCAGTGAAAGGGTTAAGAACAAAGTTACAGAATGGGATATCTGTGCTGTGCTCACCACATATATCAAAACCTAGTTTTAAACATTATGATACTTACTGCTGAGCCACTGGGTCATATTTCAACATCTTCATGACTTGTCATTCAAGATAACTTCTAAGTTAGAGGAATACAGATGGCTGAGTAATTTTTATTAAAATAACACGATTTTGGAGTCTCGCCATGCCATTACAGTCCATATTACCACATGCGGTTAACACTCTATCTTAAGACATTGCATCTTGAAAATAGTCCTGCAGCATAGTTTCCATTGCAACAGGCTCCATAATAAAGCTAAAATGTCCAAAGCAAACCACTCCTCACTGCATGTTTTTCATAATCCATTTAGTGCATGGAGATGGTAGTTTCCCAGTACCTGTTTCAATGGTCCAATTGCTCAAAAATCTAGAGGTGTTGCATCTATAACAGTGACTTGACTAGTTTGTTTTTGTAAGTTATACCCATTTCATTCTCTAGCTGTTTGAGGTATGCAATAGTTGAATGGAAGGTATGACTGGAAGCCTACTTTAGTGAACCTCTACCCTGTTAGTCTCCTTTCCTGCCAGATATACTTCTTGATTACAGTGCATACTTTTGCCTGGGTCACGTGGATAGCTTTTGCTACTGACATTTGTGTTCGTGGATTCTTACCATTACAAGACTCAAACTTTGCTTACCATGGTTGGTTTTTTTCTGGCTAGTCCTGGTACCCCTAGTTGATTCATATTCCTTTATTTTCCAGTGCTATTAAGTAAAAGAGATATTCCCATTTTGGAAATTCCAAGTCCACAATCTGAACACATCCTTGTGATCTAAAATTATGAATATTTTGTGTCAGAAGGGGCTGTTACCTATTTTTCCCCAAAACAATCAGTCTTTGATAACATCACACTACTTACACAATGCTAAACCATATCACAATGTAGTTCTGATACATTCTGGTCTACTTGTTATTAATGTGGTTTGTAAGCATACTAAGTGTTTCCTATCCCTTATTTAATATAAGATTTTTCAAAATTTCTCTACACACTATGTATGTAGTCATTACGTTCCTCTCACTGAAATAAGTCATTCAATTAGGGTGTCAAGTGAACTTTCTCATGGGAAAGATCTCTGTCAAGTGGAGCATGCTATATAAAAGTACCGTTTCCACTGGCAAATCATTTGATATTTCGAAGATCCATTATCTCTTATTTTGTAGTGAGAGTGACTGTCGATCAATGTGTAGCGCTTGGGTCCTGAGAAAAATGGCAGTTTTTTTTTTACGTATATATTGTCATGTTTTCTCAGTCTAGGATATGTTGATGACTTGACGATATTGAATTGATTTAAATAAAGGATTTTATCTGAGAGCTGTCCTGTAAAGGCGCACACGAAATACACTTACTTCTAAAGTTTGATTGTTGCTTGTTTGAAATACAGATTGTTTCAATCTGCTATAAACTTAGACAAGGTTAAGAGAATTCAGATTCACTTCTTTCGTAACGTCTTGTTATTCTTGGACTCCTACCCAATGACTCTTAAAGGGAAATCAGTGCACCGAAAAACTCCACATTACTATTACTTTTGCTTTAATAATAACCATTGAAGTATACAACATAGAGATGTCTGTATTTTGTTTTAAATTTTGGTTACAACTTCCTGCCCCTGATGGCTCAGCGATAAGTTTGAGGGCTTAGCTAAAATTCAGGGTTTGTTCCTTGTGGTTGGCACAGTGCAGACAACTCAATGTGCAGCTTTGCACTTAAGCAAACAAACAAAACCGTCAAGACTACTATAATATATGTCGTTTATATTTTCTTGTTATAGTGAAATATGCTTCATCAAGCAATAAAAAATATACGTGTTGCTGGTTTGAAGACATATGAAAAAGCGTTTGGACAGTAAAATAAAGCGTTTTATTGTCCAAACATATTGAAATTCAGAATTGGAATCTACTTGCATTCACGGAAAAACTTACTTTGAAGACATATGAAAAAGCGTTTGGACAGTAAAATAAAGCGTTTTATTGTCCAAACATATTGAAATTCAGAATTGGAATCTACTTGCATTCACGGAAAAACTTACTTTTAACATAAATTCAATACTTCCCTCTAATGAAACACTCATATTAATTGGAAGAACAAGTTTGAAACCAATATTTAAACAATCTTTCTTCATGCTTAATTTCTACAATTGCGAATATATATAATTATCTAAAAAATTACGCTGCATAAGATTATGATCTTCTCACCTCTATCAGCTCTCTTGCACTTCCTGCAACCAACAAGTAAACAGCTTATTAAAACCAGAGTGACTAAACCAACTGAGGTAGTTATGATCACCCAATCAGGAAAATCATTTGATGATTTGGATATCCAAGGGAAGAAGAGTGTATCCTTGAAGTCTAAAATTAAAAACTAGATATTGTAATACGAATAACCGACGTAATTCTGATAACTGAAATGCCATTAAGAAATTCTATAGTGTGTTTTTATCCTTATGTTAGTATATTCCAGCAGATTTAGCTATATTTAAAATGCCTAGGAAACATGAAACATTCTGTTAAATATTGAGCCACAAGTCAGTCAATCAAAAATACAATATAATCACATAATATAATAAATGTTTTCTAATATTAAATAGTCAATACTCTAAATAATCCAAGTATGCTATAAAGATCCATTTGAATTTCTATGTATTTATATTATAAATGCATTTATCTTTTTTTTACTATTCTCCGAATTTTCAAAACCCTCGATGAAGAATTGTTTTAGTAGTTGCAGTTCTGTATAAGTAAGCCATTACTCGGGCATAAGATTTTGTGTCTTACTAAATGTTTGGATACTGATATTTTCAACCTGATTGATCCTTACACACACACACACACACAGGCTAAATGGCCAGATCTGAAACCCTTAGGATTTAGGTATAGCTGTCCATAATTTTTAACTACTTATTAAAAGGAAGGCAGACAGTCAACATCATCCGGTCTATGCTTAGTGGTTAGCGAGTTGAACTTGAATCCGAAGGTCCTTGGTTTGTCTTCATTACCGAAAAATTGTGATCCACATATTAGGGATGTGGATGCGCCATAAAAGCGACAGCTTAATTCTGCTGTTGGGTCAGAAGAGTCGGCAATGGGTCTTATTGAGTGGTTTCCCCCCCTAGTCTAGCAATTCAAGATTAGGAACGACTAGCACAGATATTCCTCAAACCTCATTTATCTCAAGTGTCTCTTCATGTATAAGTAATTTGTCTTTAATACAACATTGTAGATCGTACCTACCAGGTAATATAGCGCAGTTGGTAAAAAGTGTCATCAGGTTTTGTCTCTGGCAGTTATGATCCAGAGGAGTTACCTGGAATATAAAGCAGAATTGAATTTTCGCATCATTCATTCACAAGGATTAGAAAGCTGGAATTAACATAAGGACTGGGTTTTGCTATGTACTTCTGTAGTTTTTCTTGATTTAGAGACAAAGTTTCAGACCCCATATTAAGTCCTTCATCAGGGAAATGTCATCTCAAAATCAAGAAGAATAACAGAAGAAGTCCATAGAAAACTCAGTCCAAACGTTGAACACGTTGTTTAAATCTACTTCAAAAGAAGCCTGAAGTAATTTTTCGGCATTAAATGACATTTTTTTTTGTTTACAGTAATTTTTCAGAGCATTACACAAGAATCATTGTTATTTTTTTTTCTGGAGACACCTTATAGTTTCAGTAGAATATCTTAGGTTTGTTCGTTTGTTAATGTTCATTTTATTTTGTCGTATTTACTTATTAAGAAACAAATATGCGTCAAGATATTTGCTGACGAATTGATTTATATATTACTCCATTCAGAGGCATTAATCTTTTTATTATATTATAGTGATAATAATATCAATCCACGAAAAAAATTAAATTTCTAAACACTTTTTAGTTCAAGACTTGAAGTAACTCTTTTCTGACAAAACCCATCTGACAATTAGTGAGTGAAATACACCATAAATCGGGGTGAATTCCAACAAAATGTATAGAGAAAGTACAAGAGTTGTTGCATTTTTTCATGTAATAAACAATTATCGTAAGATTTTCTGTTCTGTATTTTTTTTTCAGATCTAGTTTTCGACGAATACAGTAAGTTACAGCATCTTTCTCGGTTTGGTATTTTTTATAGATAAATATCACTTTTTTTAATTTTTGATTTTCTGAAAATATTCCCTTACAGATGAAAATCTAAATCCTGTTGAGATGTTCCTATACACATTTTGTGAAGGCCATGTCCACATGCCGCGAAAGTATAAGAAAGTCATTGCCAGACACCCAATGAACATTTCAGACCCCCAACAGTTGGAGGCAGCCTTGAAAGCTATAAAAGAAAGATGATTGGGCACTTGCAAACAAGTTGGGTAAATAGAAACAGCAGTTTCGGGGCTTGTTAGATTTTAAACCAAAGAACCTGCCAAGTTTTTAATTTATATTTGCAAACACGCAGAGCAAACCAAAGCCATACCCTTCATTTTTGTGCTAAAGGGTCCCCCCTCCACGAACACACAAACAAAAACAACAAGGAGAACCAAACTGTTTACCTGATGATGTCCAAAACATCCTCTGTTGACAACTTTTTAAACTATGACCTTTTCATCTTTGATGACATGGCCCCTATCCCCCTCCCCAACTTCAGTCTTCGTGTGTCATGTCGTGTCGTCACTTCCGTCTATGAAGTGAGGGGCTTACTACTGGTGTTATAATCCCGATGTTTTCCAACAACTTTCCTGGGCACAGAAAATGGTCAAAAGGTTACATGAAGCAGCACGGTAAACACCAGTTTGAAAGAATGTCCCAAAACATCAAGATTGCTCGTGCTGAAGTTGGCCCAGAAATGATTAATGCCTACTTCAATAGCCTGGGAAGATAACTGGATGACATAAATTAGGATGACAGTAATCTCGTAGACAGCCCAGAATAAAAAGAAGCTGCAAGTATCTAGAGAGTCCAAAACACATCAAAATCGTCAACATATTTGATGTTAGCAGCTGAAGGGGATGATACCGCATAGCTCTACTATGTTGTGTACAAAATGGTACATCTCTGTAACGCATGGACTGATGAAAATCCAGAGAGATAGTGGTATAAGCACAGTAAAATCAGATAGTTTAATCATGTGTATTTTGAAGATTGTTTTTCAACGTAGTGATACCATACATGAGAAGATGGCATTTTATAGAGATTTTTGAATGGCAGATCAACCATCAACCATGGTAATCCATTATGTTCAGTCCCTCTTCGAGTTGTTTTGACAATGTTTGGTTCTTGTAGGCTAACGTTAACTTATAATTAGTGTTCACTGTCCTTTTTTATGACGATTCAATTAACTATCGAAGGCACACTCTTGATGTCATTGTCTTCTGTCTTCTTTTCTCTGTTCGTGTTATTACTCGTTTGTCAACTTTTTGACCCCTATTATGTTTGATTGAAGTGTTCATATTTTACTGACATCACGTTTGATGCTCTTTTTCGGATTACAGTCTTTACTTGAAATATTCGTGCACTGAGAATCCAGCTAAACGTTCACCTACAATCATGCCTCTTTGAAAATTTAACAGACATTTTTAGCTCCACATTTTTAGAACCTTTCTATGAAAAAGCAAATATAACTTCGTATATAGACAAATCTAATGACATGGAATAATTTAATGTACAGTTAGATTATCACATGAGTACATTTTCCCCTGCTGTATACACCAAAATTTAGAGTTAAAAGTGAAATGCTTTCATTGTTTTGCCCAATCCGGGTGTTTCCATTTCATTTTAATTATTATATAACAACAATCTTACAATAAACCACTTTTATAAATTTATCTAATGTTCTGACATTCAAAATTTTTAATATTAAGAGTAAAATTAAAACAATATCTGACTATTTTTGGCACAATGAAAAGGTAAAAATCTTTATTATCAATTACAGCCAAGTAGATTTGATAACACAGTTACCATCACTAGCCATGATTATGGTAACTGCGTTACGGAAAGTATTCGGCTGTAACTAACAATAATAATTTTACGTTTTAGTGTATCATAAAACGTCGGATTTTGTGTTTTTTAATCTTAATATATTTGCACAATGTGCCTGAAAAGAAATTATTCAAAACTTTTTACGGTAGTACATTAAAGAATAAACGTACCCTGGCGCAGTAACAACCTTTCTCCAGTGGACTGAAAGTTACTCCTGTTTCATTCTGAAAGCAAACGAGAAACCTACAGTGAAAGAGAATATCCAGTGAAATATTATCACCACGAAGTACAATTAGTCCCGCCTGGACATTTTTACAGTTTATTATGATCGATAGAAAAGCTTCTGAGTTTCCCTCAGTAACTAGAACTGGTATCATAAAATCAGCGTGTAAGAAGTGTGTTTATATACAAATACACATATAAGTATGTTAGTTGACTTTCGATCCTTATCACTCATGAATATCGCAGAAGACGGTGTTTGGTGTTACACGTAATTAATGCATTAACTTCTATCATAAACTGGTTTGAATGTATTTTATTAGGCTAATATAAAGACGATACTCACTATACTGACGACCTTTGTAAACCGCAACTTTCCCGTCAGTCCATTACAGTTTTTGCTAGCATTTATCCACAGTGCAATCTCAAGTTTCTGAATAAACGGACAAATTGTGAGCACCTTCACTTTTATGGCCTTCCTAAAAGTAAATCTCGGTTTAATAGGAAATAAATACAAGAATTAGTCCAGAATGGGTTTCTTAACGGTTACAGAAAAATAGAAATAAAAAAGGTAAGAACAAAATGGTAATGCTATCAGAAGAATAAATTTCTAAACTCAAGGTTTTCCTTAGGCCTACTTTATTAATGATTCTACTGGACCTTTACTTCACATACCAAATGTCAAGGCACTCCATTAACAAATCACGAGATATAAGATCTCATATTTTGATTGAATTTTTTCCTATTTTTTTTTCTTCGCGCCGAAAGTATGGAAACTTTATTTGATAGAAAAACATACTTAACTATCATGGATTTTTTTTTCAAATTTGGTATACTGATAGATCTTTAAAACCTACAGTTAGATGTCAAATTTGGTCTAAATATAAGCCACATGGGCAAAGTTATTCAACAAAATCCGTTCAATTTTGACCACAATTTTTGCGCACGCCTACGCAAAAAATCACTTGAGCTACCAGTCTGAAATTTTTACTACACCTTCACCTAATAGTAAAGGTGGGCCGTTATTAGTTTTTTGTCATTCGAATTAAAGATAGCTGTTTTAGAGCAGCAAAACTATATGGTGAAAGCACGTACAGATACGTAAGTATTGGTTAGGCCAAGCAAACTAGATTAGAAGTTTCTAGCTCAAGTTTTTAAAAGAATGATACGGATGGACGGGTATTATTCATTGCCAAATTTTAAGCAAAAATTTGCTAAATTTTATTAAATTCTCCTACTTACAGAGCGTTTAGTGAAACGTGATATTAGCTTAAGCAAATAGGGTAAACAATGATGTTGTACCGAGTGCATGCGGGTGATGACAAGAAACTGCTAATCTAGTTTCCATGGTGTTACTATAAATGAAGTTACTAACAATGTTTTAGAGAGGAAAAATACCACCATATATTTTAAAGAATCTGGTTGGTTCAGTAAACTATAGGTCTATTCCCAATAATAGGGTTGCGATCCGAAAGCTAATGTTGGTTACTATCGAGTGTCAATTTCTTACTTGCTGTGGTTTGTTGATGTGTATTGATAAAAAGTCATGATATCTAATCAAAAACATCTTAGGTGAGAAAAAAAGCTGCGGCCAAAAAAAAAAGGATGGAGCGTGTGTTTTAAAGGAATGAAATGAAAATTGGCAGCCAAACTGGTAGCTACACTTATAGCATTAATAAGAATTTTACAGCAAATATTCAATGGCTAATTAAGGTCAACCAGTTGTTCACGTGATCACTCCTATCAATAATATTTTCGATATAGTGTGTGTGACTTTCTTATTATTTAACAGCTATTGGTAAGCACAGATCTTTTTAAAGATAAAAATCATGATGTTAAAATCCAGTGCATCTAGTCTTTAAGAAACATGGCGCAGTTTCAAGCTTTTTTTTGTAAAAATAAATAACCACTAATTCTTGCATAAATACATAATAACTAATTGTTACATTAAAATATATATCATCACTAACTGTTACATAAATATATAATAACTAATTGTTATATTAAAATATAAATAACCACTAACTGTTAAATATATAATAACTAATTGTTACATTAAAATATAAATCACCAATAACTGTTACATAAATATATAATAACTAATTGTTACATTAAAATATATATCATCTCTAACTGTCATAAAATCTATTATATGACAGACTCATTACTGGCACTTTCTAATTTTGTATTATCATATTAAGCGGGCTATTAGGTAGCGTATATACATGTTTTTATCTCTCAAGTATATATTGTATCAATGTTTCAATGATAAAAAGGCAAACTACTAACAATAATGAAAGTTTAAGCTAGTGACCATTATAATTAAAACAAATAACGTAAGATTACCGGTTCTTCAACCCAATTAGTAACAGATATAATCGTGTACCATAAGACTGCCGGTTCACCACACCAATTATTATAACCATAATAATCAAAACAATTACCAGTTCATTAATCCAACTAGTAGCAATAACAATCAAAACAAGAACCATAAGATTACCAGTTTACAAAACAATTATTATAAACATAATAATCGCAACAATTATCAATTCATCAACTTGACTGGTAACTCATAAAATATTTTACTAAAACATATTTGTACTACATGTTAATAATTGTTTAGAACAAGAACCTTACAAAGAATCATCAATATATACAATCACTTAAACGGTGCAAGCGGAACAAATGTATTATTTTTTTACGATTATAGAAGCTAACTGTTTATACTTCATAAAATTAAATTAAACACTTTTTTAAGGTCCTATCAATTGTATTGCTGTAAACAGTAGTAAAGTTACTTATAAATGACAAAGTTCTGGACTTACTTTTTAATGTCGGGCTGTAGAACAATATCAGCTTTCCATGATATTTGTTTTCTACAGTTAACTTCTACGCCAGTGAATTCTAAAATGAAAAGTCCTATTATTATTCTATTATCCTATTATTATTATTCTCTAGGGAGGGGAGTATTTTAGCAAAGCCACATCGGGTAATCTGTTGTGTCCACCGAGGGGAATAGAACCCCTGATTCTAGCGTTGTAAATCCAAAGACTTGTCGCTGTCCCACCGGGGGACATAAGAGTTGTCATCAAGACTTATTCAATTATCAAACAGATCATAATGGTTTAAGAACTGTGGACGATCACTTTAAGGTATAAACCATAATTAAAATTTAATAAGGGTGAAGATTAATTCATTAATGTTTATGCTTTGCTGTACAAGCTGTGTTTTACGAAACGCCAAAATTAATTATAAAAAAGTAAAACTTTATTCTCCTCAAGGGAGCGTGCAAACAATACGTATATCCACCCTTTCTTTATTTTCTGTCTCTTCAGAAGTACAATCTCTATAAATGTAATAACAAGAGACTGCCTTAAAGCTTAAAAGCAAAATTTAAAAAATCCTTTTGCCCAACAAAAACTTAAAAGGCATTACTTTCAAGTAATATTTTACATTCCGAATTAATTAACATCAAATGGTTGACATTTTATGTGATACATGAGCTAAATGGCTAGGCCAGAGACTCCCAGGTTAAGGAAATAATTGCCTGTAATTTTGAACTACTGATCAAAATGATGGTAGCACCAAACAGCTACAAGGGCTTTACATATGCTTTTTCTACCGCCTGAATTTAAACCCTTTAAGGCCCCCATGCAATACTGGAGACGCTCTATCTAGGTGATTCAAAATTGAGGACCCCTCTCTGGGGCTCGAGGCTCCCATGCAATTATATGGTTTGCACCCTTCTAAGTCCGGCACTGATGACCCTGCTATAACACTTAACACTGTTCAAACAACAAAACAGTAGCATTGCCTCTATTTATGCTTTATTTAAACACGTAATATACACAAAGTAGTAATACATGCTCTGGTACAGCAAAAGGAATCGTTCATACGCGAAAGTCTTGAATCTTTGTTTGTTAAAAAGCAAATCATTGGGTTAGTTTAACTTGTTTTGTCTAAAATTAAGCAGTTATGCTTCTTTCCATTAACATTAATTTTGTCCTTTGTTCAAATTATATGAAACATAATTTTTAACATACTTTTTTCTGGCAGGAAAAAGGTTTTCGACCGATGAGCACGGCAGCCTATTTTACAGTTTCCACGATGTCCCACACTCAGTGGCTCGACCTACAATCAAGTATTGTTTAAATTGAATTCTGATCATAAAAAAATTACTAAGTATGTTTATCAAATCACTAATACATTAACCTACCTAATACTATATCAATTAGTTAACGTGACTTGATGAGCAATATAGCTGTCCAGTTCACTTGCCATGTAATGTTAGCTATTAAGTAGTACCTATATTTAATTCGTTACCCAAAGTTATATAGTGATAACCACATTTAATTTGTTAACTATATAACGCTAACTAGTAAGTAATGATTAAGTTAATTCACTGATTAGCTAATTCTGTAGCAAGATTATCTAGATTATTAATAATTACATATAATTATCTGACTTGATCTAATAATCAATAACTGCATTTAATTAAAAATAATAACAGAAATGCAAACAGCCGATCAGTTCAAAGAATGACGAGTTAGCAGCCTATATAAACTACGGCCATACAGCTTATTGGTTTGGTTATAAATAGCTTTAAAGGGAACTAGACAACCCGTGACCCGTTGGTTCACCCACTATTCAGAGGTTATGAAGAATTCAAGCTAATTTCAATATTGCACCGAAATGAAGGTTTATTTCGAGATAATTTAATTACATATTTCAATCCATTCATGTTATTCATAATTCAAGAAAATATATTTGATTGTTGATCGGGAGTAAACGTAAAGACCATTTCACTTTTCAAAAAAGTGAAGTCAGAGTTGTGATGAATTAGTTCATTATGTTGTAGTTTTTCCTCTTAAACCTTCTACAAATAAGAAACAATAACACTTTATTTGTTCATCGAATTACCTACCATAACCAAGGAACATTACTGAGAAATTCTTCAAGATCTTGTTTTTGTCATCTTAGGCCTTTTAATGAAGATGGGAACATTGACAGGGAAATAGATTTGAACGAAGAAGTTTCGTAAAGAGCGCGAACAGTAGTGTGATGTAAAATTACTCATGCTAGAAATTTTTATAAAAGTGACCCGAAAAACGGT